ATTATAGTACTCTCATCTTCCAATTTTTGTTCATCATCCCATACGAACAAATTACATGTTTCACCACTCCACCAATTTGGACATCTCCAAAAAAGCCTTCCTTTATTTTGACCCCTCTTGCATAGGAACGAAACCATACGACTGTCACAAGTACATACATTTCCAGATCGAGATTTTACACCCTTGGAATGAGACATTGAGACAATAGTGAACAACAACAATGAATGTGGTGTTATAGTTGTTTTCTTCTTTCCGACGGTGTTGGTGCTAGTGTTTGTTTCTTTTATCAGTAGAAGAATGGGTACTTAGTGTTTAATATATACAAAGAATTACCAAGGTGTAACAACGATTGTACAAAAGATTCATAGTGATATACCTATTATTTTTTATTTTATATAAATATAATTAAAAAGGCGTGCATTAAAGTAAAAGGGATAAACTATTTGAGGGAGCTGATGATCGAACCCAGGAAAGCAGGACTGTATCACCACAGTTAGGGAATTAACTGTAATTATAAACTTAAACTTTCAATTAAAAAAAGTAAAAATAAAATGTTAGTGCATTAATTTAGCAGTGTCACTACGGCTTTGGGGCAAACCGTGGTGACTTTGGTGTTGTTGTATGCACGTTTTATAGTAGTGATAGCGAGATCCGTGTGGAGTCTTGCTACTTTAAGATTATTAAGACTTAATGCTTTGTGTTGTTTAATAGTTTGGCATATCAGCTATTAGGTAACACATTGATCTCACATCATGGAGACCGAAAGGAGATACAAATAAGGGTAACATGTGGTAGTATTATACGCTGAGTATATGAGCATATTCAGACTTATGGATGTGCATGATAGACATGTAATGGTGAAATCTACCCCCTTCAAGCATTCTTGATGTTAACACAAAAATCTCCAACTTTACTTTCTGTCATTTATTTTAGAGTTAAATATACAATACCCTATGCAATATAGCCGAATTTTGATTTACCCCCTGTAAAAAAATCGGATCACTCCCTTGAAATGTTAAAACTATATGCCTTTTTTTGCATAAGTGAAAAAATTACCCCATATAAATTTTTGTTTTAATTTATCCCCTAGATTTAGTGTTTAATTTGTACGCTTAGGGGGGTAAACCAAAAAAATAATTTCATGGGGGTAATCTAATTGTTTTATAGGGGGTAAATTAAAATTCGTTTATATTACAGGGGGCAAAGTGGTATTAACCATTTATTTTATGTTATTTATTTTCTGCATCACAACAAATACAAAACACTTTCTGACTTAGAATAATTAAAACTGCTAAACTATCTTTAAAACAACCAAACTTTATGGATACGCTAATTGTAAAACTTATTTTTGCTATAAGTGCAACAATAACTTTAAATTTTCTTGGTTGTTGAGGTCTTGTATAATGAGTGTGGAAGTAAGCAACCATGAGTGATATTATCTCTTTTCCTAATATGAGATCAAACATATTGTATTTATGATATAGCAAACCAACCTCATGATGTTCCTTTAAGGCCATGGAAGACACTTATATTTTACTATTCATATGTAATAAGTGGTCAATCTTGGTTTTCATTTCAATAGACAATGTAAATGTGACTTATATAACTGCAATTCTTGATGGAAATAATTAGAAAAACATTGCAAAAAATAAGGATTTATCTTGGTGTACCAATCACACACAATTTCTTCTTTAATTAATTAAAATGTCTTAAAATGCATATTATAATACATCCTTAGTTGGGAAGTTTCTTGCCTAGTATAATAGATGACCGGATTTTAGAATTTACCAAGTATTAATATGATTAATTATGATTACTTTGAGATAACACGAATAAGGACAATATGTAAACTAATCAAGAACTGTTCAATTAACTATGTTTTATTAACAAGTTGCAAGGACACAATATTTTTCCTTTCCATCTAACTCTAGTATGGGAAAAGAAAAACCATTCCTCGTTTAGAGAGGAAGCTCACATGGTTGAGCAAAGAGGAAGGGAGAATAAAGTTAATTGAGATGCATGCAAGGATCTACACTCATCCACCAATTAATTTGATTTATCATTTTAAAACTTTCCCTCATCTTTTGCTAGTCAATAAACTAGTAAGAATTCTTGACGAAGCTACCTCATATACTAGAATCTTTAACCCTTGGTCATTTTAAGTGGGTTTATAGGTTTCAATAACAATTAGACTATTACTTGATCATTATGTCTTAGGATATTATGAGAATTATAGTTAGGTTTCTATATCTCTCATATTGTTTATCGATTACGAGATTAACTTACTTGATATGACACCTTATCATTTTTGGGAGTTTAATGACGTTTTTGTGATGGTTTAGAGGTGTCGAACATGAAAAGTTTGGAAAAATGCAGCATGAATTGATTCACATCTTAATGGGAATCAAATCAAATCTTCACAGGTGTGAAAGCATAGGTTTTAATGTTGTGATTTTAATCACGTATCTTTCTTGACAGTATATGAATGTGATTTGAGTCAAAGTAATCTTGTGAATCGAATCACTAGGTCAAAAGTCCAAAATGTTGTTTTTTGTTTCTAAACCCTAATTTTGACGCTTATAAAACCCTCGGAACATATAATACTCATAAGGGATTATACTTATCCCTAAATTTAATAATAAAATGCATGGAATACTAGTTATTAATAAAATTTAAATTTTTTTAACACATAGAACCTTTTCAATTGTCACTATTTTCATGCATATAGAGATAACATCAATAGATTATGTGTATGACATGAACATGACTATTATTTTTATGCAAGTTCTTATTTTAGTAAATAAAATTAATATTATTATTGTATTATTTGTATTAAGTGAAAATAATAGGATTCACCTTATCTAAGTGGATTCTCCATTTATAGATGTAGCGTGTAAGACGTCATGGTAACTGGGGTACCGTATATGGAGTTAATCTATCTCCAATATTACCCCATATATATATATATATATATATATATATATATATATATATATATATATATATATATATATATATATATATATATATATATATATATATATATATATATATATTAACTGATTCATTATGCTATCCACTATGTCAGTAACCCGATCTACTTGTCATGTACATTTAAGTCTCCATATTATTCTCACATTCATAAGAACTAGACATTTATATAGAAAGAAGAGAGTATACATTATATATTACCCATTAAGTAAGTTCCTTTTAACTTATTTGTAGTATAATTTAAGTCAGTGTCCATTATATTATTTTCCCGTAGTTGAAACCCACTCAAAAAAGTAGTTTCTTAACCCACATTTATTATTTTAGCAAGAAATGAGCCATATTCATAGTGTTCCATCATTACTTGATGAGATTTTTTAAAGGTGAAGTTGTTTATATGTAACTCCACCTTCATAAATTTTTCTTTTGTTGTAAAACTTACTCTGAGACGATCATATCTCCTAAAATTTTAGATAATTATTGTATGGCAATACATTTAACATGTGACTCTCAAAATGAGAAAACAAAATCAAAATTATATATTTATTTTAATATAAGTTTATTAACTAAAACTCATTACTTTATCTAACTAATAATATGTAGTTGAATTAAATGTTTTACTTATAAGTTAAATACATGACAAACAATTGCAGTAAATTTTGATATATTATTTAGTAAATTTGATCAAACAAAATTATTAACGATGAAAATTTAATAATCCTTAATATGGATTGATAATTTTTTATGTAGTTATATATCAACTAACCTCATATTTATTAAAAATATTAAAATAGAGTTTTTTTCTCTTTTGTTACTAAAAAAGTTGTGTGTTTACTAAATTATTGAGAGAAAAAGCTTGTGTATGTTAATATGTATGTGAAACTTTAATATAAATGATGGTATTTATAAAAATAGGTTTGTGGTTATTGGAAGTTAAAGAATATTTAATTATATGATGTACTTGTAAAAAAATACATGTGTGCATGTCTCTATGAGGATAGGGGATACTCAGGTCTTAGTAGGTATATAATAGTTTAAGGTGGTTCGAATTTGCTCACAGGAGAGAAGCCTAAAAGGTCATTTGTAATTTTAAATTCCTTACAAAGGTTTCTCCTTTTACTTTCTTGCTCTATTTTTGCACTCTCACTTTCTGCAAGTTACTTCACAATACTCATCTCCACTATAGATTTTTGGTTTTTCGTTTGCAACCCCTTCAGGCTTGAGTTTATTTTTTATTTCTTTTATAGTAAGTAGGGATTGTAAGAAGAGGTTAGGAATATGTATTAGATGGTTGTAGAGCTATTGGATTTGAGGATTTACATTTATCCTTTTAACGGTGGTGACAGTGGTGGTGATTTCTTTTTATTTTGATGTTTTCGCAGAGACAAAAAGATAATTGTTGCCGCCTCCATCGTTACCAAGGATGCGGAGGAAATTGTACCTTATTACACTTATAAAGAACAAATCCTTTCTTTATGCAAAAAATTTTGGGTTTCTTCTTTGAAGGATGAGGATGTGGCTAAGTGTGTTTAAGCGAACTGTCGGAAAGAGCCTATTTATGACCCATACCAACCACTACAAAAATTAGAGGGATATATTTTCCCGCATGAGAGGGCGAGAGTGTTCTTTTTGAATGTTAGGGATTGATGAAGCCCCTTATTTCCCTTAGTCTGGATGAATGAAACCATGGAAATTTTAGGACATGATCGTTAGTACCTCACCTTTGAAGAGGCGAGGATACTTTGCTTCTTGTGGAAGTTTAAGGTCACAGATTCTCACACAGTAATTAATCCATGGCTGAAGGGGGGCTGTCATCTCATTGATTATCTGGGTAAATTTTGGGTAATTTATTTCTTTTGTGGGTATTTTCACACAACACTTATGACCATTGTGCATTTTTTTATGATTAGATGCCAAAGATCTTTTTGGTGGAGAAGAGAAGAAGATGGGAGAAGTTTCAGGTTGCCCTTGTGGAGATTGATAACCTCTAGATTCTCCCAGAGGGCTTCATCATGAATGGGAGGAAAATAGAAGTTGAGGAACCAACTCATGGATCACCTAATGTGAAGGCTCAGAGGCAAAAAGAGGGATCTTCTCAAACTGTTATATCACCTTGCATGAATACTCAAATGATGCCTGAAGGTGAGGGCCAACCACCTCCTTCAACTTTGTGGTGTGACACCGACTTTGATAACCTCTGGTTCAAAATTTATCATCTGCCATTCTCCAACGAATGTCCCAGAGACTACCAGGCCCTTCAACCTAAATCAACTCATGCAACTGGAAGCATGAAGGATAAACTTCTAATAAGGGCATTGATGTTGGAGGACATCGACTGAGAGAGACAATATAAGGATAAAAAGAAGATGAAGGATAAGCTCTAGAAGTGTGTGGGTGTCTATAATGAGAGCCATAGGTTGTTAAAGTCCATGTTAAAAGACAAAGAGACATGGGAGAAGAAGCTGAGGAGAAGTCTCTGCAAGAGTCTCTGGTGTCTCCTTTCTTCGCCCAAAGGTGATGGAGGGGGAAGTGTCAGAGCTTACTAATGAGGTAGTTTCTACTTTTGGCATTTACTTTGATCAGGCCAAAGATCAAATTTCCTTCCTCTATCCCCATATGGATATGAGTAAAATGGACTTCCTCAAGGTTGTCTGTGTTGGCCAGCTAGTGGATGAAGAGACAATGGTCCCTCCGGAGCCTGAAGCTCATGCTCCTTTTAAGGGCACCCAGGATGATGGTGTAGAGATAGAAGAAGGATAATGGCTTGGATTTTCTTATGATGTTTCTTGTCCCTTTATGGCCTTTCGTTATATTCATTTGCCCTTTCAAGGGATTTTTGTAATCCTTACGAGGGTAGCATCCGTCAGGCATCTTTTATATTAATCGCCTTTATTATTAATTTTCTCTATAGCTATTTATGCTTGATTGTTATTTACCATTGAATGAGAATATCTGTTAATATTGCCCTCTCCCAAGGCAAAGCGTATATATGTTTCTTTCCATGTTAAGAGGATAACAAGGACCCTTCATGGGAATTTAGTGATATGACTCCTTCTTGACAAGGATTCCTCTTAGGGGTTCAACAGTTTAATTGCCTATTAGCGTGGCAAGGATCTTTTTTTTGGCATCCAACTTCTTGATTTCCTCTTAGAGCGACAAGGATTCCATTTAGGGATCCAACAATTTGATTTTCTTAGAGGGCACCAAGGATCCCACTTAAGGATCCATCATTTTGATCACCTCACAGGGTGACAAGGATTCCACTTAGGGATCTAGAAGTTTGATTGCCTCTTAAGGCGACAAGGATATCTCTTAGAGGTTCATCATTTCGATCTCCTCCGAGGGCGGCAAGGATCCCACTTAGGGATTCAATGTTTTGTTTTCCTCTGAGAGCGTTTCACTTAAGGATCCAACAGTTTAATCGCCTCCAAGGACGAAAAAGATCCCACTTAGGGATCCAGTATTTTGATCGCCTCCAAGGACGAAAAAGATCCCACTTAGGGATCCAGTATTTTGATCGCCTCTGAGGGAGGTTCTCTCTCAATTTTTTAGTTTTCATACAAAAAAGGAATACTGACTTTGTTTATTAAGGATAAAAATGCACACAAAGCTAAATCTTTGAGAGATTACTTCAAAGGGTTTTTCCAAATTATTCTCAATAGTATCATACTGGTAGCATTCTCTAGTAAATTCATGAATAAAGATCATTGATGTGTTCTCTTCCGTGTGTATAAAAAATTTCATATCAATCTAAACAAACTCGTCTTCATAGTTATGGAAACGTGCATATATCAAATCATGTAATATTCAAAAGGTGAAATCCATTATGGAAGATTAATCTCAAGCATCATTGAAAGATGTTTCCTTATCTATGATATACAAGCTCAAACTCGGAAATAACCCTAAAATATGTGTTACGGAGAGTCCTTAAATTCTTAGAACTTGTTAGGATTGGGTTTGATTCAAGAGATCAAGAGAACATAAGAAATTTTTGAAGAAATCTTTTGGAAATTTCTTAAAAACTATTCTTGTTGTTATGACTAAGATTTCTGCGGATTCTTAAGAGCCAAAGGTGAAGAAAATCTTCTTGAAAATTTAAATAGGAAATCAAAAAAATCTTCAAGGATTTGTAGATATGAAATTCTTGCTTTTGTCACCTCTACAAATGATCTTATTGATCAACTCATTTTGTGAAATTAAGCTACTTTAGATGAGCTAACTACGATAAAACCTTTAGTCCATTTTTTCCTAAAAAAACTTCCTAAGCATATAAGATCGATAATGTTTAGCTTTTTTTTGTATCATTTCAATTGGTTTGTGCATTTATTCTATCCTAATTGACTATTGATCCGTTTCAATGAAGTTGCTCTTCTTATTTTCTTATTACCTTCTTCCTTCTTTGTTACTTTATTTATTTATGGCACTTTACTAAATGTAAAAATATTTATGTCTTTTTTCATATCTCTATTACACGTTATATATATATATATATATATATATATATATATATATATATATATATATATATATATATATATATATATATATATATATATATATATATATATATATATATATATATATATATATATATATATATATATATATATTTTACACATTTTGTGTAATGACTAAAAGGAAGAGAAAAGTATTTGATGAAAATGGGTTAAAGTTTATCCTAAGTAATTTGTTAAAAACATTTTTTTAACTGCTCAAACATAATTTTAAGATATTTTATTTTAATTACTATCAAGCAAATATTATTATTACATAACTTTTTATTATTTTAAATTTATTGGCATAGTCTTAGAGGGGAGCCTATTGGCCGATCCTCTATGATAATTTATGATATCTTAAAAACCTAAAGTTGTTCAATAAAATATAATTATTATCATCAAAATAGGTAAGATTGTTGAACAAAGATTTGTTTGAAGAATAATGCCTTGTACTTTAGTTTTGAGAACAATAAAATGTAAGAAAATACTTTTATTGTCTAAAGCTTGTTATTTGTATAGTTCACTTCTAATAAGATTTTTTGAAATCTATCTTCTAGAAAGAGTAAAGATGTTTGTACAAATGACTATATGATCTAGATGAGTTTGAATTATTCCATCTTACAAGTGATCATAAGTATATTTCTATGCACCATTTAAGCAACATTTAGGTTTGTGTCACGGTGACTTGTTATCAAGCATCGTCAAGTTCCTCTAGTCAACTTCAAGCTTTCAAGTCAACCATTTTGATCCTCTTAAAGATGTTCAATTTGATACACTTCTTGAGTTTGTTGCTCTAGAAACCATAAGCAAAACATAATCTAATAAAGAATAAACTGAGTTATTTTCCCGGTCAAATATTCAGATCGGGAAATAACAAAGCAATATTACAAAAGGTGCAACACAATGTGTGATAAGATATTCTACGAGATCTATGAACACAAAATATCAAGTTATAATTGTTGACCAAGTAACTCCAAACACAAGAGAGGAGGGTGAATTATGATATTCAAAATTCGTGATTACTTCTAAAAAATTACTATTTGAAAGCGTTTATATTAGAAGATATGAATAAGATAGATGAAGGATAAATATGAAGAGAAATACGCAATAGAAACAAAATAATCAATTGAAAAATAAAGATATAAGAATTAGAGAGAGTGCACCAGATATTTATAACGATTTGATCTAACCACTTGGCCTACTCTTGCATCCAAGAGTTTCCTTCTAAGAGTTCCACTAAAATCAGACTTGGCTTTTACAGGATCAACCCATGAACCTTCAACAAAAATCAAATAGAGCTTTTAGATAACTTTAGGTCAAGAACCTTCACCCAATTTTTTCTCTCTTCATATTTATCTTGCAACCTTAAAGTCCTTTACAAATAAAATTCACAGGAGAATCACACCGTTGAATAAGGAAAGTTAATCACAACACCAATCACAACAACACTCTCACAAGGTCTTTTTCAATATTTTATCACTAAATCAATACTCATATAAAAGAAAATTCAAAATACAGAGTAGAAGAAAGATAGAGAGGTTTCTATTCAGAAAATGGTGCAAAATGAAATAAGGAGAAACCTCCTTTATAAAGGAAATATTTTGGCTCAAAAAAGGAAATAGTTCATGGGCCAATTAATTAATTTAATCAATTGAACCTAGTTGGTAATCGATTAAAAAAACTTTCAATATACGAAAACCCTAACCCAAAAATTGAATCCTTAAACACCTATATGTCTTAATCAATTAATAGATTTTCTAATCGATTAAGATGTCTCTTACCTTACTCTAATTGATTGGACCAAGTCTTTAATTGATTAGAAAGTGTAAAATCTTCTCTAATTCATTAAAAATACTTCTTACTCTATTTCATACAAGCCTTGATAGGTTTTTAAGAAGGTTTGTGAAATTAGAGAATGTTTGAAAAGCTTTTATGTGTGTGTGTGTGTGTGATTATCTTAGTATTTCAAGACTTAATCTTGATCTTTTACATATAAATTGATCACTCTAAGATGTTAAGCATAGAACGAGGCGAGCTTCCACATTGTCACACTTCAAGACATCAAGATCCATTTCTTATTCCATCAAATAATCAACACTTGAATTGGATCTTTGAATCATCAATGATGAGGCTTGAGATATCTTTTTCATATACCATCTTTAGGGAGCACTGGAAAATTGATATCAACTCCCCTTCTAATAAATAATTTTTAACTTCCAAAAGTCGTGTGACTTGTGGAGTTATTATCTTTAAAGTTGTTCCACCGATGTCATCATTTAAAATAACTGACAATTATACCTGCATGCACATAAAGCCACATCAATAATACACAATCTCAATGTCTCCTTTATTTTAAGAATATCATCCAACAACCATCTAAAATAAATATATATAAGGTATCAACTTATCACTATTTTATTCACGAGACATCCCATAAAAAATCATTGAAACACTTACGTGAATAAACTTTAAGAAATCAACTTGAGAACAAAATAAAAGAACTTTAAAAAACATCTAAAGAAGAAACTATACTAATAGCAAGAAAGAAACATGTGATTTCATTATAATATGTCTTTTAGCTATGTGTGCCAAAAGTAGTTGACATCCTATGTTGAGAGATATTGTGTAAACACTCTACCATTTCTTCATTTATTTAATCATAATCCTTAAAGGGCTAAGTCTTAGCCCGATTCATTGAGAAGAAAAAGAGATCTAGATATGATCAATTCTTTGTGGTTGATAAAGTAAGATATAAGTAAGTTGAACTCAGAGATATCTTAGTGATCTTTATAATCAAATTGATTATAGTGAAAATCTATGTATGTAAGGGGATGAGATGTAAC